ATATATATATATATATGCATCTCCAGTTAGCTCAAACTGAAACCTGTTGTTCTCTACTGATCATCATCTATCTTTCTGAAACTATCTCAAGTCTCATGAAGACTCATCACCAGGTGGGACATCACTTTTGTCAGATCTGAAAAAATGGTCAGGTAACCTCAGGGTAACCAATCCTGGCATAAATTTAACAGGAAATTCATAACAAGAATAAGAGAAATAGAATAAAGCTTCATTCTTCAGTTTATTCAACTCAGCTTTATACTTTTTCAAGGAACCCTGCCAAATGTTACAGGGAAAGTTCACAAGCAGGTCAGAATTGCAGTTTTCATCCAATGCTGTTAATTCCTAGCATCTGGAACACAGAATTGAAGAGAGCCAGCATCAGTGGGTCAGAAGCATGAAGTACCTACTAAGTGATACATTGCTGGCTGACAGAATTTTTATCCTATTACCCACTTACTACAGTATCTGTTATATGTATTTTCTGGTCAGTGACAGTGAAGAAAAATCATGAACACCTGTTTGCTTTTCTGTTGTGTGACAGTGGGATCTGGGTCTAGAGGGAAAAAGCACATAACTGGATTATGGTGGTGATGGAAAGGGGACTCTACTAAAGTTGCCTTTCCTACTTTCTTTCTCAACCTGACATCAGCATTGCCTGTTAATATAGACTTCTAGCCTTGATGGCAAATTATTTCTTGTAGATCATAGTACACCATGATAGTCCTCATCTATCACTGTAAACTGATCAAGATCTGGAGAAGGCATGTTTCTCTCCAATTTTGATAATCTATAGCTTGATGAAGTTCTGTCAGACACACCTGACATGGGTGGGCTTCTACATCTTAAGACTTGCACCAACAGGACTCAGGGACAAGGATTAGGAAAGATCTTATATTTGTAGAAACTTCATATGAGCCGCATCATATTTAAATGTTTTTACAGCAGCGTTGATCAAGTGTATTACTCTTTACATAGTGGCCTTCCTGCTAGAGTCCAAAGTAATACACAACACAATAAAACACAGCCCTACTGTTTATTAAATTAAAAAATGTCCATTAAAATTTTTTTTTAAGTTTTTCTAGACAAATATAGAAAAGTATAGCTCTCAAACCATATTATAGAGCTCGGGGGAAGATATATTTCTAGGTGTTGTCTATACCGTGATACTGAGGAGGTTAACCACATTTCCGCATAGGGAATTTCAGAACTGGGGTGCTAATGCCTAGGAGGCTCTAGGTTTAATGATCGCTGAATAGGCTGAATATGCAGGTAGAACCACAAGCAGGAACTTTTGGGAAACTACTGGGAGAGAATCTCTTACTTGGGCCTACATCATAAAGATTTTTGAAAATAAATCATAACTCCTTTACTTGGTGACTTATGGGCAGCAAATGCTTTGCTGTAGGACTGAGGTTACATGATAACAGCTGTGCACATAAAAACCTGGTATTTGTATTCTGCATCAGTTGCAGCTTCTGGACAAGTGATTAATGTTAGTTTCCTAAAGTAGCGCTGCAAAATCCAGTGAGGAGATTATTAGGACATGAATCAAAAGTTATCCTAGTTTAGAAACAGTTATGACAAGTGGATTAGCCAAATCTGGACATAGAATGAAACCTCATCAGACACTACAGCAATGAAAACCTATAATCAGAAGTACAGTAGCAGAAAGCCTACAGGTCTAACAGTCATAAAATCCTACAGACAGAAAGGCTGCAATCAGAGTGTAATGATTGTCCACCAGCAGACTTTGACTCAGTTCCACACTGGTTACAGGAGACATTTTTTTGTCTGGGAAATGGGACAAGTGTGTTCCTGGGTGTATGGCACTCCTATACTAATAGAGCAGGGATACCCAGGTTCAGTCAGTCCTTCAAGACAGGCCAGTTCAGAAAACAG